CGGCCCCCATTGCCGCAGACACTGTATCAATCCATCTCATGGAGGTTCTTTTTCTCTTTCACTCGCCCTCCACCTTTCCGAGCATGATGTCCCTTTCTAAGGAATTTCTTTTCCTAGCAACATGTACAAAGTATATGAGACTAAACTTCGCCAGCCTTGCTTCCAAGGAGTGCAATGATTTCACGTTAGTGATAAATCACCACATGTAATCAGCTCACTTATTCCCATACAAGCTTTAAGTCTATGGTAAGTGCATCCAGCTTTAAAATAAGTTTGCAATCAATTTGCACTTGTTTCTTTAAATCTAAATAGGATACACTTTACATTTTCTTCACATGTGATATTCTATGTAGGGGCAGAACATAAACTAAAAGTATTAAACCAAAATTAATAGAATCTATTTCTTTGACTGAAGTATAAGCAAATATTTTTCTGAAATTCTTGTTGCTATTAAGTCAGAACCACTTAACTCATAGCCGATCGTCTAGAGGATGTCATAGACTGTAAATCACATGGGAGGATAGTGCCCATCTTTCTCTCATGGAGCAGCTGGTGAATTCACACCACACAACTCCCTGTGGACTCCAAAGGTCCTGATAGGTTTCCTTCCTTCTCAAATAATTGGCCAGTTGAGTCAGCATAAGAGAAGAAGGCCTTCAAAGAGATGATTGACACAGGAACTCTATCAGTGGGCCCAGGTGTGTAGAAAATGATAATGAGATTAACACAGTGCAGGGCAGGATTAAGAGCCATTGTTCTTAGGGTTGTTATGAATTGAATGGTAGCCAACTCAATGGAACATAACAACACCACCACATTGCTCACACAAGAGCTAGAAGAACTGTGCCTCCTTTTCACTATCATTCAGTCCTGGAGTGACAATATTTACAAAGTAATTTTTATCACAAAATGAATGTACTACTTCCCTTTTTCACAAAATGAGTTGTTGTTGTTATGTGCCGTCAAGTCGCTTGCGACTCATATTGACCCTATGTACAACAGCCCTAAACCCTGCTCTATCCTGTGCCAGTCTCATTGCCTCTGACACACCCATCCCGATTAACCCAGTCACTGAATCAATCCACCTCATACAGATTAAATTACTGTCATTAACTGATAAGAAAAAAGAAAACCTACAGACTGGGAACAAACATTTGGTAATACCATCTCAGACAAGACTCTTAAAACAAAAGTTTACTGACAACTCCTGGGCCTCCACAAGAAAAAGACAGATAAGCCAATTGCAAAGTAGGCAAATGACATGGGATGAATTTTCACAGAGGAAGATATTCGAATGGCAAACAGACACATGTAAAAAAAAAAGCTCCAAATCACTGGTAATAAGAGAGATGCAAATCAAAACCACAATTACATACCATCTCACTCCAGGAACAGTGGCAAATTAGCAGGGTAGCAAGTAGTAAGTGTTGGCAAGGATGTGGTGAGAAAGGAACTCATACATTATTGGTGGGATTGTAAAATGGTACAATCATTCTGGAAGGAAGTTTGGCACTTCCTCAAAAAGCTAAACATGGAAATTCAATGTGACCCAGCTATTACCCTGAAAAAATGAGAACTGAGGCACAAACAGAGATTTGTACACCAATGTTCATAGCAGCATTATTCACTATCACAAGAACATGGAAACAACCAAGATTTCCAAACACAAAGGAATGGATTGAGAAATTATGCTACATTCACACAATGGAATACTATGCAGGATGCAGGAGGAATGATTTTGTAAATTATTGCCTAACTTGGGAGCGACTGGAGAGCATTATGCTGAATGAAATAACTCAGCCCCACAAGGATAAATATTGTGTAAAACCATTAATGTAGAATGAGTATAAGGATCCAAGAGGGGTGGGAGAGGGAAGAAGCAGAGGGATGAGGTTGTGCAGGAGGAGGAGGTATTCAATTTGATGGGGGTGGGGTGATGTGTATTGAAATAATTTATTCTCAAAAACAATGTATTTGAAGAATATGTTCTTAAAAACAATATATTCAAACTTTGTAAATAAACTAGTAGAAAATTTAAAATAAAATAAAATAAAGAATACCTTGCTTGCACTTTGAAAAAAAAGAGGGAGAAGAATATAAAGATATCTGAGAAGCCTTAACTTTCATTTAAATACTTAATATTGAGCTACATAGAGATGTCACTGTAAGGAAATGTATTGAACAGTGAACCCAAGCCATACCTCCCTGTTGGTTTTGTGGTTAATGTTGGACACGCTCTCCCAAGCTGCACAGCAGGTTACTCTGAAGCAGTATGGAATGCAAAGACATGGATGGCACAGTCATGGCAATAACTCTTTAATCTCAAAGGAGAGACTCACAGGGTGTGTGACCTGTTAACTGTGACATCTCAGTCTGTCCATGATGAGCAGAGAATGTAACCTGTCGCCTGCTCTCATGACTGCCTTATGGCAGAGGTGGTGCTGGTGTTCGGCTGCGTGACATGGTTTTGGTAGTATTCACGTGGGAAACTAAAGCTGGGTGGTGTGGGCAGTTTATTATAAGGGAGGACATACCATAAAAATAAGCTTGTAATTACAGAATAAAATCAAGAGAGGGTGGTGGCACTTAAATTGTTTTTATTTTCAATACAAATTCATAATACAACTGATTTGTTAACGTATCTTCCTACAAAATAAATAGCAGCTATTTCAGAGTTGCCCCTAAACCCACCTGTTATGGCACAGAGTCTATGGGCTGTATAAAGACCTACCTAAAAATGTACTGTGTGATGACACAATGAAGAGAGTGACCATTGGAAAACCCCCAGAACTCCTGCCTGCCAAACTGTACACCAACATGATTTCTTTTCTGTGTGTGTTTGGTAGATATTTAGAGATAGTTAGTTCACTATGACACAACCCTGCTTGCTGGAACTAAGGAGGACCTCATGCACTTGCTGCGGAGGGCCAAGGACTGCAGCCTTCAGTATGGACTGAGGCTCAATGTCAAGAAGACAAAGATTCTCACCACTGGACCTGTTGGCAGTGTCACGATGGATGGCGAAGAGATTGAGATTGTTCACAGCTTCAATTTGCTGGGCTCCACAGTCAACACTCTTGGCACCAGCAGTCAGGAAATCAAAAAGCGTATCGCGATGGGAAAGTCTGCTGTTAGGGACCTCTCTAAAGTACTCAGGAGCAACAGTGTCTCCCTGGAGACTAAGGTGCACCTGATACAGGCCATGGTCTTTGCAATCGCTTGTTATGCATCACAGAGTTGGACAATGACTAGGGAGGACAGAAAGAGAGCTGATGCCTTTGAGCTGCAGTGCTGGAGAAGAGTACTGAATGTACCATGGACTGCCAGGAAAACAAGCAGATTCATCTTGGAGAGGATTAAACCAAGCTACTCCTTGGAGGCAAGGATTCTGGGGCTTCGTCTGACATACTTTGGACACGGGTCCTTGGAGAGGGACATCATGCTTGGGAGGGTGGAGAGACAGCAGGAGGGGAAGACCCTCTATGAGATGGATTGATTCGGTGACTCGGGTAATCGGGATGGGTGTGTCAGAGGCAGTGTGGTTGGCGCAGGACAGAGCAGTGTTTAGGTCTGTTGTGCATAGGGTCGCTATGAGTCGCAAACGACTCGGCGGCACATAACGACAAAACAAGAGTTCACTAGGTCTTTGCAACTGTTAGGTCTTTTAGTCTCTTTTCAGCCATAGGTTATAGTATGAGATTTTGGAAATGAATTTGTTAAGTTCAGTACAAGAATAATAGTGTCCTGGTTGTTGTTTCCAAGTTGATTCTGACCTCATGTACCAGACTAAAACTACACTCCATTGAGTTTTTTTATTAACTGTTTTTCCTCCTATGTAGATTGTCAAGCCTTTTTTCCTCCAAAAGCCCCGAGTGAACCCTAATGGCAGCCTTTTCATTAGTAGCTTAATTTGTTAGCCAGTAAAGCCATACTGTTGTTGGTGTTAGTGCTTTTGAATCACATACAATGCATAAGGACCCTATGAAAAACAGATCTGACCCCTGTCCTGTCCTGTACCATCCTTATAATCTCTGACACACTCGAACGCTCGAGCCTATCATACGGTCACAGTTTCAAACCACTTAGTTGAGGGTCTTCTCTTTCACCATTCTCCCTTTCCAAGCATTATGTCCTTCAAGGAGCAGCCTCTCCTAACAACGTGGGACACAATTAGCCCATTCATATTATAAAGATTTTTCAGGAGAAGAAGGTATTGTTTGTGGCGTGTGTTCAAATCATACAGGGATATTTTGATAGCTCAATCCAGAGGATGTTGCACTGCCAAACGAAAGGTAGGTAGTTCAAATCTATTAAGTGTTCTAAGAGAGAGGAATAGGCAGTTTTTTCCCATGCTAAATTAACCTTCAAAATCCCTCAAGAAGGTCAGCTATGAGTCAGTTCTGACTCAACAGAAATGAGTTGAGAGAATTTTAATGCATGTATGAATTATATCCTCCTACCTGTTTTATCTCTGATCATGTGTATATCAACCATCACTTACTCATTGCCATCAAGTTTTAACTCATTCATAGCTGACTCACCATTGATTTTTGGAAGCAATAACACATAGGGGACAATATTACCCATCTTTCTCCCATGAAGTTGCTGGCAGTTCCAAACTTCCTTAAAGCCGTGGCTTTTGGGTTAGCAGAGCAATTTCCTATGAACTCTGACACCAGAACTCCCTGTATGGACCATCCATTTCAATTATTTTACTTCTCTCTAATATCTTTAGATCTTTAATTAATGAATGTTCATCCCTACTAACTAGTGATCTTACCTAATTAGTGATTGCCCCCTCTTCAGTTGACTTTGTCATGTGACATATTTTAAAACAAGAACATGTCTACAAGACAAAATAGCATGCTCTCGTCTTTTCTATTGTTTAAGAAAAATACCTGACAGCATTTTCCACTCCTAATGGAATTGTTGTTCACACTGAGATCTCTGTGAATTCTATTGGTCTTTCAACTGATTAACTGCTGCATTTTGATTGACAGGATCTGCAGAGGTGGGTAAATGGTGCTAATGAGCATGGCTTTGTGCTTGTGTCTTTCGGAGCCGGCGTCAAGTATCTTTCAGAGGACATTGCTAACAAATTGGCAGGAGCTCTGGCCAGATTGCCTCAAAAAGTGATTTGGAGGTAAGGTAATAATACAGAAGGTTTCTTTGCTGTGGATTTTCAGAACATCTTTGTGTGGCCCGCAGGCCCCAATAAAGCATCTCACATTGATTCCTTGACTTTTCATTTTGTTTCTTAGTATATTGGAATCTGGGGATAAATTTGTAAGAGTCTGTGATGGATAAAGTATAGGAGGAAGATATGATTAGATTAGCAGTGATCTATCCATATGTGAGATGCATTTTTATGTTACTATTGGATTTATACCCTCATTTATCCTTCTAGTGTTTGTTATTACTTTATAAAATATAATTATAATAATATGCATGTCACCATATTATTTCAAATAAGTTTTAAGTGAGGTATAGAACAGAAGATGGACAGATAACTCATTCATGGACCATTTTAGTCTCAAGCTTAGTCTCATTTACAAATGCTTTCAGCTTCTTTTAAGAGACCAACGCTTTAAAAACTCAATCACTTATCAGCTAGCTCTAGTTAAATCTGCCCAACAAATTGACCCCAATTTTATTGGAAGCCAAATGTGTGACTCCTATTGTGCTGGAAGGTTATAGCAACCAGAAACAGCAGTTACATTATTACTACCACAGTTGGGGGTGGGGGGGGAAGTATAGCTCACATGTGTTGCCTCAGATTTAATTCTGATTCTTGCTAAGTCATGTGCTACAGAGTAGAACTAGTATGTAGGATTTAGGGTGTTTGTTTTGTTCTTTTTTAAATTGAAATCTTAACAGAAGCACTTTCCAGAGCCTTTTCTACCAAATTTTGGATTATCAACAGAACATCACTCATTTGTGTGTGCTTCTTACAATTCTTCCCTTACAAGTAATTGCTATGTGCCTTTGAATAGACTATGGCTCATAGTGACCCTATGAACAGCAGATCCTAACTTTGGCCCTGTCTGGTACTATTATCAAGATATCTATCATATTCAAGCCACTGTGGTGCTCACTTTGACACTTCGTCTCTGAATAATATGATTTTCTTTTATAATAGCTGTATACAAATTATATCCTGATTCTCCTTAAATAAAAATATATTATATGCTGACCTTTCAAAACTTTCCTTTTAATCTTTAAATACTGTTAGATTTTTTCTTAATCTATCAAGTCATCCACTCCAAGTTCTTAAACACATTTTATGGTTTGTCTTTTAAGATGAGAACAGGCTAATTATGTCGGTAGTCCCGTAGAGTTGCTGTTCTCTTGCGTCAGGTGGGAGATGAACGCCTCTTCCTTATTTCTATAAAACCTTCTCATAAGCCAGGCATAGTAAGGATTGGAGGTACTGGCTGTCCAGTTTTGCTCCTCTTTGTCTTTTGTATCCTAGTTTCTAGGTACGGGTGAGGAAGGATTTTCTAGCATAGGCTAACTTAATTGTGTTTTCCACATCTCTGTGTAAAGGTGAGAAATAATAATGAAAAATAGGTCTTAAATAATTTCTTACTCATTCTTCAATCAATGAAACCTTGAAAGCAAAACATTTCCTATTGCTACTCAAACGTAGTTACAGTTTTAAGAAAATGACAAGGATCATATTTCATTTTAAGTCCAATCATTTAATCAGAACATCTGTCTGGGCAAGCTTTGGTTGTGAAAGGTTTATTGTCTGGTGTGATTTTCAGGTTTTCTGGAACCAAACCAAAGAATCTGGGAAACAACACTAAGCTCATAGAGTGGTTACCGCAGAATGACCTGCTTGGTAAGTTGGTGGTGTGTTTGGCACCAAACTTGGCTTTTGGGTTTTCATTGTGTAGACATGATTTTTTAAAATTTTATTTTATTGATTTTAATAACGTTTACAGAGATTTTGGATTTCCATCCATTCATTGTTGCATTTTTCTCCCTGTCCACCCCTCCCCTCCAGTTCGATCTTCTCTTTGAAAAGTAAAAGAAAAATTCTTTCTTTGGTATACGATCTTCCCCCCACCCCAGTACACTCCATTATGCAGCCTTCATTCTGGACTCTTGCCATGACCATAATACCCAATCATATATTGCTTCTAAACTGTTCTCTCCCTTATCTTTTTCAATGCAGTCTACATAATGTATCCAGTTTTTCTCAGTCTCACTCCAACCCTGATGTCATGATTTTTTTAGTAAGTTATTATATGTGCAATCTATGAATGGTTCATGGTATATATATATATTATGTTTTTAATCTATTTTTTTCAGGCCCTAGACTATATATCCATAAGTCCAAAATTGGGAAAATTATACAATGTTAATTGTTTAGGTCAATATAGTAAACTAATAATTTGTCAATTATACTTAATAAGCTATGTAAATTAATAATGAGTTCCCAACAACAAAGCTAGACTTGACTAAGTTTATCAGTTAAAATAGTAAAATAAACACGGTGAAAATAGATTGATATTATAGTTTTATTGCAATGTATCTGATAACCCAGAGACATTTTAAAAAAAATTATTAATTGTTTGAAAATAATGGAATCTTAAGGGCAGGTAGAGTCAATGCATTTTAATTATATTTGCATCACTTGCCTAGATTTTATCTTAAATCATAAGGAGATTTTGAAGTACTTCTTTCATTCAGTTGTTTATACTTTTCTCAAAATTAAAATAAATTTTATTATATCCTATCTTTTAGATATATTTGAACCCAGGTAATTTAACTCTAGCTTATTTTTAAAAAGGTAGTTAAAATGTCAGTTATATTTTATTCATTATCTTCCTAAACCCACAACTGTCAAGTTGATCCCAATTCATGGTGACTATCTATCATACATTTTTCTCCTTGGGAAGAACTGGGAGATGTGAACTGATAACCTCTTAGTAACATGTCTACATTTTATGAATGAAACCGCTATAACTCTTTATCATCCTTTACTGTACAAATTATTA